AGGTAATGGTCTGATGAAAATCGATAAGTTCTCTCAAACATTTTAACGTAATACAGAATATTAATAAAAAGTTCACCGAATTCAAGTAAGTGGGTTGTTGCATATTTTTTTAAAGAAGTTTTTCATATTTGTAGGCCAATAATTATTGAAAATGTTATAAATAATTTTTTGAATTCAAACGGTCCAGGAGATCCCGAAGAGATCGTGACGTCACGATACACTCCCTACGACGATAATCGACTACCCCTGTAAATATCGGATAAAGTGCAAACATATATCAATTTTTTATCGATTTCAAGTAATGTCGACTCCAAAAAACAGTTACTGGTATTGTTTTATGCCACTGTGTTCAAGTACTACTCAGTATGCCAGAAAAAAAAAATCTGTATCCCAAATGAATTTAATATTTAAGTGCAATGACTTCCAGCAGCTCATCGAACTGATACCATCAAAAACATCGAAGTCACATTGTTTTTGATCTTAAAAATGACGTGAAAATTATGTTCATTTTTCATTAATTGTTTATTGTAAAAACTTGAAATACCACGTTGTGTTACATATTTTCAGCTGTCAACCGGAGCGAAATATGCAAACTTCAAATAAGACGATATCGTCCAGCTTCTGATAAAATGTGGAGACAAAAAGAAAAAAATATTTTATTTGAGGCCGATAGCGAAGCCTTTAAATGCTAAAGCAATAAAACAAGGCATGACATTTGCAAATGCAATGTTTTAAAATTTATTGAACAAGAAATTCTCGAAAAGCACGTGGGATCGTGTGGCAGAATTAATAAAGCCGTAAATTTTTGTCGTTTAATTGATAAATAAAAAGACTTATCGCGTTTTACAAAGTGGCATATAATGTCAGTTTTAAGTTTTTAATGTTTTTTGAGTTTTTGCGGTTGTCGGCTTTCGTAAAACCTGGATCAAGTTTATTTACCTTTTTTATGCCTATTACTTATCTTTTATGAAAAAAAACTATCACTGATAAACAACATACCGATCCATGAATAAGACATGTGTGCATGCAAAAGCGCGCGCAAAGCGACGTGTATCGTAACGCCATGACTAATCAGAAACAGTTTTATAAATCCAAATACTTATACCATCAACTTTAATTTATTGTAAATGAATGAAAAAAAACTTTTCTTCAGTAGCAATTATTAATACGGACATTTTTAAAAATATGTATGTTATCAAAAATGAATTCTACTTTTAACAAATTCAAAAAATTAAAACATAGTCTCAGACGGACACACGATACGGCTCTGTAGTCATTTATCAATTTCGATTTAATTATTATAATAAAAGGACCACAATGCAACAGTATACAGAGACTTAATAAATGATCGAAAGTCAAGTGACCTCATTTTTAGTAACCGATAGTGTATTTATTAATTTAAGATTGGCGCTCTGAATCTGGTTACTAGTTAGTTACGAAAACTACTATCGTCTGTCAGTTATTAGTCGTCCTTGCGAGTTTTTGCTATTTATTAAAGATAATAAAATACTGATTCTTACCTATCTGCCTATTTTTTCACTTTAATTTATTCCTACTTATTATGTGATGCTAGTAAATATTTTCGTTATTTTGGCATTTCATAAAACACATACTACTTGCAACATTTTCTAATTTTTTAAACGCCGAAACTAGAATTTGTCAGAAATCGCCTAAGGATATTTGAATTGATTTTGTGCATCTTGTATGTGTATGTGACGTGACTCTGGGTCATTTAAGAAGATACTGTACTCAAAACACGATTGAATTTCAAGTCAGTTACCAAAGATGAAATTAGATTTAAGTAAGTCACTATTTAATTACGAAGTTCTTGAATAAATTGGTAAAGACCTTCGCGGTCAGTAGGTGAACTGATGCTGTTCTGATTGGCTTTTCAAGCAGTCGTGTGTTGGAGTTGCTTCCTAACGTTTCGCTAGCACGAGTGGCGAGCTTTTTCAGGTATCCTTCCTTCTCCGATGTATTTATGCCGGTGGTAGGGGATGGGCCTTGTTCCGAATCAGTCAATCGTGGCAAGCCGTTCGAGTGTTCCTAAATTCTGAATGAGTCTGAGGGCCTTCTCCTTACTGAAGTTCTCCGAATGTTTTTGGATCTCGCTGGCTTCTGTAACCATCTTGCTGTATTTTATGATCGCCGTCGCATTTTCGGTGTGTTCTAGTCGGCAGCTTGCTTTGTGGTTCTTAAGTCTCGTTCCTATCGATCTGTTTAATGGTTCCTACGTACACTCTTCCGCACAAACAGGGTATGCGATAGACTCATGAGGCTGAAAGGGGTCCCTCTTGCCCACAGCTGATCTGATGCTCTACTGAATCCTCTTCGTAAATTTGAAGATGGTTCTGATGTCGCATCTCTTCAGTATTCTGCCAGTTCGTTCATAACCTTTAGAGCATGTGGTAGATATGCTCAAGAAGTACTGTGCCATTCGTTGATCTCTGCTACCTTTAATCCGTACATTGATCTCTCAATCTCTCCCTTTTTGTAACCATTCACCTCGATGGCGGTTTTTAAATATTCAAGTTCCGTTTGGAGATTTTCCGGTGCGCAAATCCTTCTAAGTCATTTGAAGAAGACTCAACAGATCATCAGATCAGATAAGAACAAAGAGGGAAGTAAGTCTAAGGAAATATGACGTTATCAGTTTTATTTTAATCTTATTCTTAACTTGGCAGTTCTTAAAATTTTTCATTACCATATAGTCATTTTCATTGCTATTTTTAATCACAAGAACTCGTGTAACGAGGGGAATAGCGTTTCTGACGTAATATTTTTAAGGGGGGTCACTCAAACTATGGCTTAGCGTGATGAAGGGGAGGGACGAATGGATCCAAAAATTTGAAACTCTCAGTAACGTATTTTATGGACGACTACCAACTGGCTGCGAAAGCCTTTACCAACTTGTAATAACTGGAGTGTCTTTGAATTCTGACTTGGTAATACATTTGTTTGTAAAGGCCTTTTTAATTTCGAGTTGTTATAGAATATTTAGACGATGACCTTTATTTTCTACGTTTAGAATTTCAAAATTTACAAATTATGTTACCAAAACCTATCAAAAACAAAAAACATACTTCGCATTTTTAAACATACATACCACATTGGCCTCATTTGTTTCAGCTACGGCAAATTGGTGATTCCAACATAATTTACTATATTTACGGCACAAATAAATCCCAATTATAAAAACACAAAACAAAACTGCCAATGTTGACAATGAACTCAAGAGGACAACGTTGCCATTTGACTTCTTGCTGGATACTAATCCCTGGAAGAAATACAACACTTAAGATTGACTTGAAACGAAATGTTATTCAAAACTAATAAAACCGCTAATAAACAATTGTATTTACCCAATGTACATTTTAATAAACAAAATAGTTTATTGACCAAATGTACATTTTAATCAACTCCTCCGTTTTTACTAAGATTCATCTCGCCCAGGCAAAAGCATCCTGTGAGGCCACTACTAGGGCTACAGGCGAAAAAAGGTCAATGGCATCGAGGGTAGATCACAAGCTGTTCAATTTTACCTAAGAGTAAAATAGTAAAATAGTGGGAGTTTGGCCTTCGCGATCCTGTCAGATAACCAATTTAGAGGTAGAAAACATCCAAAATAAATAAACCTGGTCCTTCAGATTGGGGGCTCGAGCAATGAACCTGCAGCTCGTCATTCATAATGAAAATATCTCAACAAATCCTCGGATAAAGACGGATATTACGGAAAAAGAAAACTGGCGATGAAAAGGACATTACGATTAGGAACATGGAACATACACAGCTTATATGTACTAAAAATAAAGTATTTACAATACCATTAACAGAGGTAAAAAAAAGAGGAATAGAAAAACGAAACGGATATATTTCATATACGGTGAAGTGCTCAAGGAAAGACGAAGAGAAAAATCATGAGAACAAATAAACGATGGAATTCCCACTGTAGAGTTTTATAAATTAATCACTTTCATTTATAGCTGTATATGCAACAAAGATGCAAAGTTTAGAAATAAAAGACCTGTTTTCTGATAAATTGAGAAAGTTACTAAATAGCCTTGGCAACAGCAAATATGTAATTTTAATGGACGACCTAAATAACAGAGTTGAGCAACGAAAAGACGATCATGTGGTAGATAAGGAAGACCATCAGTTATTTCTCTTACTAGCGAAAGTATACTTCAGATACAGGGAACTGCAGAAAAGAAACCAACAAAATATGGAAAAGAATTACAGACCTAAAACAATATGTACAGTTTAGAAGGTCTATGAAATGAGTTAACTAAGTTCCTTACCCAGTTAAGACTCATAAATAAAAATAATATCCGGAACGAGGCAACGGCGAAAATGTATGAAGACATAAAATCTTGTATCTACCAGTCAGCAACAGAAGCTTTAGGAGAAATAAATACACAAACAAAAAGGTGAACACAACACCTAAAAAATCTACTTAAAGAAATTTACAAACAAGATATGAGCAAGACGTTAAACACAAACTGAAAGCTCAAAACAAATATAAGGACTAACTGTGTACAGAGATTAATAAGAACATCGGAAATACCAGATCCAATAATGTCTAGAAAGTAATTGAAAGCAGGGGAAATTAAAATAAAGATACCTAAAATTTGAACCCTATTAGAAGGCAAAAATGGAAGAATAACCTCAAAATGCTTGATTGAAGAAATAGAGGAAACAGCAACCGACGACAGCTATTTTCTACTAAAAATAAACACCTCTCGAAGTTAAGTAAACTCTACGCCAGATTAAAAGTGAAATCTTCTAGCTCAGGGAACGTTGATATAGAACTAATTAAAGCGAGTTTATGATACAATTCCATTAAAATGCTGTTCAAATGCAGGGAAAATTGGTAAGGAGGTTTCGAAAAACTTTCAAGTGACAAACAACCTAAATGAAGAATGTACTCTAGCTCCTCTATTATTTAAAATCTATTTAGAAAAGCTTTTGCCTCTTTAAATTGATTATACTGGCAAAGAAATTCGGTCGTATAAGAAACGATGTAATCAAAAAAATACAATAGAATAATGCATTCTAATCACCAAAAGTTACCTTCAATCGCCAATAATCATCTTTAATGATTAATATCGAATTATACATTTGGTTTTCTGTTTTTATGTATAAATAATACTTCTATAATAGTAAATTCGGTGAAACCTTGGTCGGACTTTAATAATTCCAAGCTGTTTAAATCTACCGTTTTTTGAGTTACAACAAGTAGCGTGGTATAACCGTTTGTACTATATTACTACATTTTGGGGCAATACAGACCCATTCTACCGGCCAGTTTAAGACATTTTTTGAATTACTGCAAACAGCGGGGTAACGCAATCTCTAGTATATTGATACATTTTGTGAAATTCATAAAGCACTGTCTGGGTCTTTATTCCGTCTACGATGCACTAATCAAGTCCAATAATACTGAAATCGCAATCAGCGTCTGACTTTTGACAGAATACTGACCACTATACACTTTTTTGCAGTTTCTTATTTTACAAAAATGTTCTACTACTGCTGATCTTTTAGAAAGGCTATTTTCTTTTAGATATGTTCTTCAAATCTGGTGTAAATACTCTCTGGAACGTAAATCCCTAAAGATTGCATCAAATAGCATAGTAGTGATAGGAAATGTCAGGAATCATTTCTTCTCTTTCTAACGCAGTCTAATTAAAACTTTTTTCCCCAATCACATCTTCATGTACCTGTCGTAATTAAATTACTTAATTTTAGCTATCGTAGTATATTTTAATAATTAATATTTCATATTGCAGAAAGTACAAAAAACATTATGTTGTTTTAACGACCGGCCCATTAAGCAAACTCCATTATATAGTTTTAGTCAATTTAGATTGTCCTAGTTAAATATAAATATATAAGGTGTAGGCTAAAATTAAATTTTATCATAATCGTACAGATGTAAACACAGACATGGATATTACATCTGGACAACTGTGATTTGTCTGTGTCAAGCAATGTAATTTTAGTTTTGCTTTACGTGGGACTGCTTTAAATTTTGACATTCATTATTATCTTTTTGTTAAACTTAATTAATGTCTACAAATAATATATAACTATTCTTATTACATGCATAAAATCAAGGAGACGTAACATTAACAAAATAAAATAAATCGATCAAAATTATATATTGAAGTTTGCTTTTAATAACCCGGCAGTTGAAAAAAAAAATAGTCAATAACACGCACATTAACACGTGTTTAGAAGGTATATATTAACAAAGAACTGAATTTATATTACAATTGTTGTATTTGTATTTCTTAAATACCATTTATCAATCCAAAATAAAACCGCGTGCTTTGATCCGTAGCACATCAGCCAATATAACTAATAATAAAACTTCTGTTAGTTAGCGGATAAGTACACATCTATGTGAACATGTACGCATAGTTACGACTAGGAAGGGAATGCTAATCAGGCCGCATCAGAAGGAGGAAGAATGGTGCCGTACGTTTCTTATCACCATTGCTGTCTCCAGGTATTTATGCTCTATGGAATATTCCTGTTCCTCATATCAATATAATTTTTTTTCAATAATTGCAGGTAATTTTATAAATACCTTTCTCTTTTTTATGAACATTTGCTATAGCTAATAAACTATACACTTAATTTTTTTAAAAGAAAAAGCCGGTACCGTCTAGTTTTCTGTTGTTTAATAGTTTTCGTAAATATTCAAAACTTTCTTAAGTTTATCTTCTTTAACTTCCCTTAAATATTGCGTTCAAATGTGACACTGATGTTAAAAAGCATGCTCCACTAATTTTCTTAATAATTAATTATTTTAACATAAAATTATACCTCAGGAGAACATTCATTTTCATCTACGCATCCAGGATACGGACAATTCACGTAACCATCATGGAAAAATCCAACATAAATGCATTTATCTGTTTGATGAGGAAGACAAGGAAGGTAATCTTGTTTATTCCACATGCAANCAAATTTTCGAAATACTATAATAAATAAGATAGTAGGGATTGTTTAACTAATGATTAAAGATGAAAAATTCATAAAAACCTGTTTTTTAGGTAGTTTGAATTCAATTGCAATTGTATATATATTGAAGTATAGTAAATCAATGTATTTTTATGCAATTTAAATACTGTTCAGCGTTTAGCATGTAGCTATTTAATGTTCTTCATGTAAAACTGATATTGTGTGTGTGTATGAGTAACAAAAGCCATCACGTTATTATACCACATTGCTGAAAGTTGTTGTTTAAATTACAATTTTAATATAAGTAAACTATAGTTGATATATGTATACATTTACCTGTATTTAATACGCCTTTTACTTGTATACTTGTATTTGCAACATTGCATTGGACTGGCCATCGTTGGAAGGAATTGTTGAATAATAAAAATTTTGTTTCATTCGGCTTCTGAACTCATTTCACTAACATTCACAGGTCTGATGCGTTGTTTAATGCCATTCAATGATCAAAATGAATAAAATAAAACATAAATTTGTTAATATTTCATGATCGTAATAAACTCATCTAACTTTATATTATTTATTTCAAACTTAACTTTGGTCGCAAGTTTTAAACAGCTAATCTTAAAAGAGAAATAAAAAAGGCAGGGAATGCGGAAAAAGACCATGAAACGTTTTGTAAAATATGAAGAGGTATGGCTTTAATCGATCCAATACAAGATTTTAGCAGCATATTGAGAACATTGAAACAGAAAGCAAAAGAGTCTCTGCTCTGTTAAGTTTAATAGTTAAAGAGGTATATGCATTAATCTACAGAGACAGAGATCCAATTTTGCGATAGGCTACAAACGACAACAAAATGTAATATCATGATATGCTAAAATACACAACCTTACTAATAATTGTGAATTTAGCAAATGTCTGGAGTAAACATTAAAGGATAAAGTATGCGATCTAAGGAGTTCAAACTATCTCACAAAAAACATTTTTTTAATGAATATAACACCTTTAATCAATATTTAAATAATCCCTACTATTCCAACTTTTAGGGTATTACAAAAACTTGATATCACTTCAAATGCCCATTTTTATATACCCGCGGTTGCCTGTTAAGAATTAAATTATGCATTTTGACAAATTCTGCTAAGCTCTAGGTAGGCGGAATTACTTTTTCTCCTTTATCTATCTGGAAATAAGCTTTCATATGACGGAGGCAAATCCTTATTTTCTTCAGTAGAAAGAGCAGTTGAAGTAGCATATGGTCCCGACTGTGATCCCACAGAAGTAGGAACTGGCCCGCTTATAAGCACTGAGCGATTCTAAATAAAATTAAAACAAAACCTTGGTAGAAGCACATCTGCACAGCAGTTATAATTAAAAACTTGATTCGTTTCATTGATGATATACATATACATATATATACAGTGTCCCAAGCAAACGCGTTTCCTCAATAACTCCTTTACACTTGAAGATATAAAAAAAAGTTTCTAATAAGAGTGGTACCAAATAAGTACCTCCATATCCTAAAATTAATTTCGATTATAGAGAGTGCTTCATTTTCTCTGGGGGCAACCTAACTTCATTTTTTCAATTGGCATGTCCCATTTATTATTGCATTTTTGGATTCCTTGTGAAATTAAAATACCACTTTTTTTAACCATTCATTATGTCTAAAATGCACCAATTTCCATAAAATTGGCGCTAAATCAATTAATACGCTGTTGCAGTTGCAGTACTCTGCGCCATTTTCAATGTCTTCAAAACGAGAACACACAGAGGTGTTCTATTTTCACAAATAGCTTGTGGAAAAAATGCCCTACTATTTCAACTATTACCGCAAACATGAAACATGTTCTTTTTAAATTAATTGAAATTTACCACTTCCAAAATAAATTGTTTTAAATAGGCATAACTATTTTTTTTTTTAATGGAATGCCATATGTTTTTGTCAGCGCATCATATGCAAAATTTTATTTCCTTTCGTCCAATATAAGGTTGTTACTATATCTACGGCTAACACTTTTTGAGAAAATTAAACTTTTTTAATAATGTCAGTTTATATCAGAATATCAAGTACGGCTTCGTCGGCGATTCGCTTTTATCCACCATTGTTTCCTACAAACGTCAATTCTGTGCGCTTAATTGGGTGCCGAGTAACGTTTCGTTTTCGAAGCTGTTAATTTCTGAACTGCCTAACCCGTGGCTTTGAGTCAAAATGAAAAAAATATCCGCGATATCCAAACACACGTAATCCGCGTTCCGCAGGGTGCTACAGAGGTTTGTTACTAGCGAAACAATAAAATTTGCACCTAGAAACTACCTTTTAACTGTCCCTACGGAAGAAAATGAATTTCGCTTTTTGATATCCCAATGTCAATATAAGAGATATAATCCGAGAGGCTCAAATTAGTATTTTTTTTTTGTCCAGTATAAGGTAGATACTATCTACAGGTAACACATTTTGAGAAAATTCAACTGTTTTCATAATTTCAATTTCCTAGAAAGCTTATCTTCCTTCCTAACTTGGAAACTGAAAGGAACCCAGTGCCCTGTTTAAAAGATGTTTTAGAAAAATGTAATATTCTAAGCGGGACAGAACATGAATTTTTATTTATATCGAATTTATTAAATTGATTTGCGCATATTTCTAAGTGAATTGCACGTCTTTTGAATAATCTGGCTGTTACTGTAGTGCCTACTTATTTGACCACCGTTTCAGTTGTTTTAATTCCGGGGAATGAAATTTGCAGTTAGTCAATTAGTAGCTGCCATTTTGTTCTACACAAATCCTCATTCGCCTATTACTGCGACAATAATTAATGTCGACGTTAGTCAGCATGTCCGGGGTAATCTCTCTTAAGCCGGTAATTATTCTTTACCGCATATCCTCCACAGTGGTAGGTATAGGGGCATACACCTTATTTTGAACAAAACCCCACAGAAAGAAATAGCATTCTGTGAGGTCAGGTGACCTGGCAGGCCATTTAATTGCCCCCTCCCCTTCCTAACCACCGATTTTCGAAATTCCTGTACAAGAAGATGCAACCCCAGTAGCACAACAATATTGGTAAAATATTATATTTACATATTGGTGCAATGATGGAAACGTCAGATTTTTTTTATTGGCCCAATGTAGATTTTTAATATTAACCCAATATTGAAATTAAATATTGTTCCAATGTTAGGAAATAATAAATGTGCAATATTTATTTGAAAAATACAGCCAATATTTGTTTTCCAGATTGGTCCAATATATGTTTTATATATAGTTACAACATATCATGTATATATAGGCACAATATCTACCCCAGTACCACAAAAATATTGGTAAAATATTATATTTACATATTGGTTCAATGATGGAAACGTCAGATTTTTTTTTATTGGCCCAATGTAGATTTTTAATATCAACCCAATATTAAAATTGAATATTGATCCAATTTTAAGAAATAATAATATAATAGAACACTGAAATAAAAAATTGTTCGGTATATATATTTTTTATTATATTATGGAAAATTAAATTAAATTTACGAACAAACAAAAAAAAATACATTCTAAACAAATGTTTTGTAAATAAAAAAAAAACTAATATTAAGTGAAATAATGTCATCTACTCTTCCGCCCGCCTTCCTTGTCCCGAGCACCTGCTAAATACGCCGAAATTGATTTTTTAATATCATTGTCGGTAGGATTTTGAAACCGCTTTCGGACAGCTTCTAAAAATGCAGAAAAAAATTGTCATTATCTTCGGAAACAGCAATAATAATTATTGTAAGTACCTACACATATTACATTACGAGCTATCTAAAATATACCTACCTACAACCAAGCCTACAATTTAATGATACCTATAGCTTAATATTTATTCTAAGATCACATAAAATAAAAAAAATATAAAAAATGATGAAAATATAAACTGCGATGACGCCACGGCGGAGCTATACAATCAAACATCGGCAAAACATACTTAACCAATTATGTCCAATACGATTAGGTGTTTATAAAATCACATTAATTTTGGAAATATAAATTTAAATGCACTCACCATAAGATTAGATAAGATCTGTACAGACGACTCTGTACGTTACACGTCCATTTAAGATTCGGTGTAACTACAACTTAAAAACTATCTTTAATACACAAACAGGCCTCCTGAAGGGTGAGATGGAGAGCAGGCTGTATCAAGCTAGTAACCAGCACAGATATTTTGACCCAAGGGGTCCGGCAAAAGTACCTGAAGGGCAATTAAATTCAACAAAATAGACTCCAAAAGTGTCTGAAAAACGTTGTTAATGTGAACGAAATATTCTTGTAAGTTCTAACACAAAACTATACGCATTACGAATACATATATATGCCGAACACTATCTTTTCCCTGACTTATTATATAATCCAGTTAACATTTATTACTACATGTGAGAATCACACAGTACATAATAATTAATTAAACAACTAAAATATACATTTACTTACCACTNATATCATAATTATACATTAAACGTTTAACTTAGTTATCAATTGAATTAATATCACATTATAAGTAAGCATACATTTTATCTTTAAAAAATATTAATATTTTCAATTTGCTAAACACTTGGTAGTTGATAAAAATGAGAATATTAGCACAATAACAAAAAATTTGCAGCTAATGGAATACGCAAAAACGGCAACAGTAGCTGTTGATTTAATTCAAGAATTACTGAAACCTTCAGACGATGATTCTAATGAAGATGAAAATCTCATATATTGTTATAGAAATAATATATACGCGAGCACAAACTTAAATAAACTTAAAGTACTGTGAGTACCTTATTATCTCGGAAGCGAGCTCTTGATTCAGTTCAACTGGTTACATAAATTTATTGTTAAACTGTTTTATTGGGAACATATCATCAAAAAAAAAACTTAGGTTACTACTGCACCTTAAAACAGGATTAAACGTTTCAGTATAATCAATCCCTGATTTCTGATTATAGCCTTTTACAACCAATCTTGCCTTATAACGTTAAATTAACCCAACTGTTATTCATAATTACAAAGTATCAAAGTCAATAGGGCTGACAACAACCAAATATTGCTGTATTTTCCAGGCGATAAACCTGAAGAGGAAGGAAAGAATGAAAGGGATTAAACCAAAGATAACCAAGATGTCAAAAATAATGAAATCAAACATTGATTCGTTCAGTAAATCTAAAAATAAATCTACAGAAGCTGAAGTGTGAAGTTCTGATAACTCAAAGAATATTACGACAAAGCAACTGACCAAAGAAATCCTGAAGAACCAATCCCAACTGGAATAGTAAATGAACCTAATGAACCACCAAATGCAGACCAAGCTTAACAAGATATTTATCAGTCACGGCTACGTTCTAGGGCAAACCTAAACCTCCAATTAGATATCAAGACTGTGTAAATACTGAAGACATACATGTGGCAGAAGGGTGTGAACCAATCAACTATCAAGATACACTTGTAGTGAGGCTAATAAATGGAAATTAGCTATGAACGATGAAATGAAATCGCTCAATAAAAATCTTGTATTTGAGTTAGTCAAACCTCCAGCTGGTACCAACATTATGAATAACTTAAAGTGTATTGTCACGCCCAAATTGGGAACGGTGTCTTGACCATCTATGTATTTTAACATAAAATTATACCTCAGGAGAACATTCATTTTCATCTACGCATCCAGGATACGGACAATTCACGTAACCATCATGGAAAAATCCAACATAAATGCATTTATCTGTTTGATGAGGAAGACAAGGAAGGTAATCTTGTTTATTCCACATGCAACCTGTAAATACTTATTTGTATTATAAAGTTATTAACTGTAAATTTTTCTTATACAGGATGAAATTGAAAGTATAAAAGTTTTTCATAATGCGCTCTTGAATTAAAATACAGTGTAAACTCTTTATAACGTCACTCGATTTAACGACAAACTCCTTAAAACGTCGAAATTGCTTGACTATGGTTGGTTTACTTTTTTTTTTTGTACAATATTACACTCTTTATAGCGTCACGCTTACTCTATTTAACCCTCCAATGCCCAGAATTATTTTTTCTTCAGGAAGTTGTTCATATTGTGTATATTCTGTTTAAATTAGACTATTGTTTAAGAAAGAAATACCAAAATTACGAAAAAACGATTATATGCCTTACTTTTTTGACGTATGATATATCATACGGTGGGCAGTAGAAGTTAAGATACATGAAAACTAATTTTATGATGACTTCCAGCAGCTCATCGAACTGATACCATCAAAAACATCGAAGTCACATTGTTTTTGATCTTAAAAATGACGTGAAAATTATGTTCATTTTTCATTAATTGTTTATTGTAAAAACTTGAAATACCACGTTGTGTTACATATTTTCAGCTGTCAACCGGAGCGAAATATGCAAACTTCAAATAAGACGATATCGTCCAGCTTCTGATAAAATGTGGAGACAAAAAGAAAAAAATATTTTATTTGAGGCCGATAGCGAAGCCTTTAAATGCTAAAGCAATAAAACAAGGCATGACATTTGCAAATGCAATGTTTTAAAATTTATTGAACAAGAAATTCTCGAAAAGCACGTGGGATCGTGTGGCAGAATTAATAAAGCCGTAAATTTTTGTCGTTTAATTGATAAATAAAAAGACTTATCGCGTTTTACAAAGTGGCATATAATGTCAGTTTTAAGTTTTTAATGTTTTTTGAGTTTTTGCGGTTGTCGGCTTTCGTAAAACCTGGATCAAGTTTATTTACCTTTTTTATGCCTATTACTTATCTTTTATGAAAAAAAACTATCACTGATAAACAACATACCGATCCATGAATAAGACATGTGTGCATGCAAAAGCGCGCGCAAAGCGACGTGTATCGTAACGCCATGACTAATCAGAAACAGTTTTATAAATCCAAATACTTATACCATCAACTTTAATTTATTGTAAATGAATGAAAAAAAACTTTTCTTCAGTAGCAATTATTAATACGGACATTTTTAAAAATATGTATGTTATCAAAAATGAATTCTACTTTTAACAAATTCAAAAAATTAAAACATAGTCTCAGACGGACACACGATACGGCTCTGTAGTCATTTATCAATTTCGATTTAATTATTATAATAAAAGGACCACAATGCAACAGTATACAGAGACTTAATAAATGATCGAAAGTCAAGTGACCTCATTTTTAGTAACCGATAGTGTATTTATTAATTTAAGATTGGCGCTCTGAATCTGGTTACTAGTTAGTTACGAAAACTACTATCGTCTGTCAGTTATTAGTCGTCCTTGCGAGTTTTTGCTATTTATTAAAGATAATAAAATACTGATTCTTACCTATCTGCCTATTTTTTCACTTTAATTTATTCCTACTTATTATGTGATGCTAGTAAATATTTTCGTTATTTTGGCATTTCATAAAACACATACTACTTGCAACATTTTCTAATTTTTTAAACGCCGAAACTAGAATTTGTCAGAAATCGCCTAAGGATATTTGAATTGATTTTGTGCATCTTGTATGTGTATGTGANGTGAAGTCTCAGACTTCTACAAATAAAACAGTTTATAAGCATGCTGTCAACTATACTGAAGCTAAGTTATTATTATGACCAAACATTTAACATTTCAAAATTATTTGAAAATTGACAATGTGGACACAAAAGTAACAAAATAAAATAGAAGATTTAGTACATAAAAACATTTTGAACCCTGCTTCTTGTGAAAATAAATAGATATTTAAAGAATATTTTTGTATTAAAACATAACGTCCAGGGAAATTAATAAGCGTATGGGCGACATTTGTATTGATGATTATTTAAATTTTGATAATTCTCTCAATCAGAAAGCTTATGTAATTGAAATATGCACATTATCAGCTCTCCTTTCTTTTTCTACAGGTGATTTTGCCAAATTTCTCATAAAATTAGATCTTGGCGCATTTTTCATCTAGAGACGACATAAGCAATAGGATCTTGTTCTGCTTTAGTACATATGGCAGTAACACAACATCTTTGGTATATGAATACATGCAATTAATTGTGGCTCACACTTTGAAGGTAGAATCTCTGTCTTGTTTCTTTTTAGAGTGCCAAATTTTGTAGACTTTTGGGGCATATACATTCTAAATTTGCAGCAACCCCTAAATCTGACCAACAATTTATTTACACAGGCATTATTCCAGTGAGTATAATGGCTGTTTCTAAAAAATTTTGAAAAATAATGCTAATTACAGATCAGCTTTTTCTCATCAAGTCAAGTGAATTATCAAATCTAAGAGCAGCTAGTAACGCAATTTCTCAACTCATTGCGGCCATAATGATGTCCCTGCCAGTACCGTCAGTTACAAAAATAAATGAATATTGTCAGGGTTTCATTTGAACACCATAGTATAAACCATCAAACCTAAAAAAGCTTTCATTTGAATGTTTCTCTCAACTCGGCCAAAAATTAGTCCTTGTTTTTCTAACAAGCTTTCCTAATTGAATAAAAGTGATCATACATCAGAAGTTGCTGTAATGGAACAATTATATTGTGTTGAGATGTTCTAATAAACTTAGATACAGCTTGCTTTTCCTATTTCAAAGGAATAGTTGCAGCTTTCATAGTTTCAATTGATATGATCTGAAGATTCTTCTTCCTTTGAATCAGACATTAACATGTCAGGCTAGCCATAATGATCACTTTCGTTTAAAATGCTTTCAAAACATGAACTCACCCCTATCAATAACTAAGAGGCACTGAGGACATTTAGCCTCTGACGCAAAAAACTTGGATGGAGTAAACTAAAGCAAAATGTAGAGAACCTAGCAGACTCCACACCAGTAGCTACAGGTTAAGCGAAGAAACTAACCTAATCTAATACTACTCTAGCAATCTGAAATAGTAGAAAGCGTATATATAAAAGATTAGATTAGTTTAGGGTTAGGTTGAATTTGGTTATATTAGTCTCATTTCCAAATTTTTAAATTTTACATAGAAAAAAATAATTGGTCCATTACACGTTATTTCCATAAAAATTACTAAGTTTTATAGAAAATCATAAATACCTTTATAACGAATAAGTAATGATTGGTGAAAGAGAGTACGAGAATTTTCAGAATTTATGTTTTCCAACATATTTTATCTTTAGTCCACCTAAGGAGTATTACTTTAATACGTTTGTATGTAATTCAATAACAAAAAAAATGGTTAAATTTTTTTCGCTTCCGTTTATTTTTCCAAGTGCTTAAGAAACCGTAAACTATAAATAACTATAAGTAATTAGAATTAATACATAATAATACTCACTCTTAAATAAATATTAATTGTTGTTAAATAAACAATTACTGTAACATAACTGCACAAATATAACTAAAAAATTAATGTAGCACTACAGTATAGTGAATATTCATTATATTATATGAGATGCCGGTCACTAACAGCTGAATGTAATACCGATATGCGCATGCGCGCCTTTCTATCCTCATAGACTATCGCGTCGCGAGACAAAACGTTCCAAAACGTATCGTTTCATGGCCTTAAGATTTTACTCCCATCGAGCCCAAAGAAGTTTCACTTCAAAAACACTTTTCTGATTATAAAAGTAGGCACAAGTTTCATTATTGTAAACACAAAAATAAGAAGAAAGTTTAGAAGAAACCTTTAAAGAACAAAGCGATTTAAAATGTACTATGTAGAATATATGATTGTATTTAAAATAATGAAACCTATTTACTGTTATTAAGAATATATATGACCTATACAGAAATTTTAATTTGATGCATTATTCACAACCTTATAGAACTTAACATTCAGCTTTCAATATCATCAATTTTAGTACCGACATAAAAAAGGGATAAAGAAGTTGAATAAGTGTATCTATCTGTGACATCGTAGTTCTTAAACGCATAAGCTGATTTTGATTTTTTTTATTTGAAGGGTGACATAATTGAGTGTTTTTAGCTGATTTACTTGTGTTGGGGTTGTTTTAAATTTTTGAAACCTTTGAAGAACATTATTTATTTATTCAACAAAACTTCCATATCTCGGTTATTTAGGAAACTTAACTTTTTCCATCCAAAATTACTTAAAACCAAATATAAACTTTAATGAAAAATGGGGAAGGTGCTTTAACGTGTAGCTACTGAACATGAGGTGAAGTCTCAGACTTCTACAAATAAAACAGTTTATAAGCATGCTGTCAACTATACTGAAGCTAAGTTATTATTATGACCAAACATTTAACATTTCAAAATTATTTGAAAATTGACAATGTGGACACAAAAGTAACAAAATAAAATAGAAGATTTAGTACATAAAAACATTTTGAACCCTGCTTCTTGTGAAAATAAATAGATATTTAAAGAATATTTTTGTATTAAAACATAACGTCCAGGGAAATTAATAAGCGTATGGGCGACATTTGTATTGATGATTATTTAAATTTTGATAATTCTCTCAATCAGAAAGCTTATGTAATTGAAATATGCACATTATCAGCTCTCCTTTCTTTTTCTACAGGTGATTTTGCCAAATTTCTCATAAAATTAGATCTTGGCGCATTTTTCATCTAGAGACGACATAAGCAATAGGATCTTGTTCTGCTTTAGTACATATGGCAGTAACACAACATCTTTGGTATATGAATACATGCAATTAATTGTGGCTCACACTTTGAAGGTAGAATCTCTGTCTTGTTTCTTTTTAGAGTGCCAAATTTTGTAGACTTTTGGGGCATATACATTCTAAATTTGCAGCAACCCCTAAATCTGACCAACAATTTATTTACACAGGCATTATTCCAGTGAGTATAATGGCTGTTTCTAAAAAATTTTGAAAAATAATGCTAATTACAGATCAGCTTTTTCTCATCAAGTCAAGTGAATTATCAAATCTAAGAGCAGCTAGTAACGCAATTTCTCAACTCATTGCGGCCATAATGATGTCCCTGCCAGTACCGTCAGTTACAAAAATAAATGAATATTGTCAGGGTTTCATTTGAACACCATAGTATAAACCATCAAACCTAAAAAAGCTTTCATTTGAATGTTTCTCTCAACTCGGCCAAAAATTAGTCCTTGTTTTTCTAACAAGCTTTCCTAATTGAATAAAAGTGATCATACATCAGAAGTTGCTGTAATGGAACAATTATATTGTGTTGAGATGTTCTAATAAACTTAGATACAGCTTGCTTTTCCTATTTCAAAGGAATAGTTGCAGCTTTCATAGTTTCAATTGATATGATCTGAAGATTCTTCTTCCTTTGAATCAGACATTAACATGTCAGGCTAGCCATAATGATCACTTTCGTTTAAAATGCTTTCAAAACATGAACTCACCCCTATCAATAACTAAGAGGCACTGAGGACATTTAGCCTCTGACGCAAAAAACTTGGATGGAGTAAACTAAAGCAAAATGTAGAGAACCTAGCAGACTCCACACCAGTAGCTACAGGTTAAGCGAAGAAACTAACCTAATCTAATACTACTCTAGCAATCTGAAATAGTAGAAAGCGTATATATAAAAGATTAGATTAGTTTAGGGTTAGGTTGAATTTGGTTATATTAGTCTCATTTCCAAATTTTTAAATTTTACATAGAAAAAAATAATTGGTCCATTACACGTTATTTCCATAAAAATTACTAAGTTTTATAGAAAATCATAATGAACGTTTTACCAATTACGCTTACTTTTATAAGAAGTAAAAACAAGCAAAAAATCTGTTTCTTCTCCCTCCAACAAGGGCTCCCTTGAAACAAAAATTGTAGCAATTAACTTTCCCTTCGGATCAATATAGGAATTTCCTGTTGGTGCAAGGTCACTTGAAAATGGATATGGAGCAAAATGTTTGCCCATACTTAATTCTGCATTTAAATATCCACAATGTCTTGAAATATTAGAACCATCATCTCTTTTAAACTGAATGTAATCTATACATTCATTGGTAGTTTCATTCTTTCGTAAAATAAGTTTCTGTATCACAGCAAAAACACCATCACTATGGGATGACACATCTATTTCAAATGTACATTTAAAATCAACTTTCCATTTTAAAGAGTGATCATCCAATCTTTTTTGTGATACAAGCAAAGCAGAATCCTCATGTTTACCAAGTTTAATTTTTCGTTTTGTAATAGGTGAACATAATTCTCCACTTTCCACGTGCACTAAAAATTATTGAATTTTAGAAATCAAACCAGATGTAATAAACATAAACATAAACATACTGGACTTATAACTAAGAACTGCGTTCATTGAAAAAACAAGAAAAAGTAGCAAAATATTTAAATTAACTGTAGTCATTCTAAATTAAATTATTACACCTTCATTTTTGTATCAACATAATATTGTAATACACTATTAGTAAGTGCTGCATTACGCCGCCATCTTTATAGATGCTGATTAATGCAGATCAGCATTCGACAATAGGCGTCTAAAAGAAGTAGAGCAGCAGTTAAAATTAATCATAGACTGTATAAATAGATCGTCGCATTCACTTTAACTTGCAAACGACATACTCTGACAGGTTGTCGACGCGCCCCTTCCACAATCTGACCAGGATCTGACTGGACACTAATGTCCCAATCCCAAATGTAGAGATGTAAACAATGCAGAAATAAAGAACCGGATAGAAAACTTGTCGCGTAACGTATACCTATTGGCCGACAACATTAATAATGATAGCGAAAAAAGTTTAAAATCATAAGCATATGTGTGCTATCATTGCAAATAACACCGTGACCAAATACGTGTATTGTATTCTGTATTTTATGTATCCTGACGCATTTTTATGATTTTATTTCCTATATGTAGAATTGCACTATTGCTCATCAACGAGAGTGAAGGCCACTATTATTATTATTATTGTGTAATTTAGGGCATGTTCTGATGTACACTGCGACCTGCGACCACTGTAAGATATGACCTTTTGTATATCTATTATCTATGGATATGACGTCAATTTAGTATACTGCAAAGCAGTTCCATTATAGGCAGCTTTACCAGTTACTCAGTGGTTTCCAATATTTTTGTAACTGCGCCCCCCTTAAAAAAAATTGTTGCGCCCCCTTAATTTTTCTAACAATCTAATTTCATAAATACTCAATTTATTTAATGGGCTATAGAATAATATACAATATTATGTAAAAATATGCATAAAAAGTAATTATTTATTATAAGAAATAATAATTTTCGCGGCGAGGATTGTGGATTACGTATACCTATTTTGCTGATTCATTTTTTTGACACCTATTCGACTTTTTTGGTTTGNAATAATTTTAAATGTAATAAAAACAAATCTTACAAAAATACAAAAAAAAAATATGTAATTAATACAAAATTATAAAATTTAATGCGACGATGTGAGCCTGTTTTTCAGCACAAATTTCCTTAAACCGTGGTATCATTGAAGAAATCGCGGTTCTCAGTTCCTTTTCAATCACTAAAGCGACATCGATACTTTGTTTTTAAGACAGCTACTGCAAAAAAAACCAGTTTCACATAGGTAAGATGTTACAAATGGCAATAAAATTTAAAAAGCTTTGTTTGTCAAAGTAGGAAAATCGTCCTTCACCTTGACACCTATTCGACTTTTTTGGTTTGTATTCGAAAATGATATTTTGGAAACAGCTGCATGCCCCCCTAGGGGGGCGCAGCCAACGGGTTGGAAACCACTGAGTTACTGTTTAAAACGGTCTGTGGTTTCCTTGGATCACTTAGGCAAATGCTGAGGCAGTAATATTCCACAGATAATCTTTCATTCTCTTCTGTCTTCATTTCGTCCGTCTCATCTTTCTCACCCGAACCACCACCCACCCATTCCCACGATTCCTGAAAGCAGGCTGAAGAGGGCCTTCCGCCCTACCTTCCGGCGTAGCCCGGAGGGACTGCCCGACCACCAATAATAGTGGCTGGTGGGAATGAAACCCCCAAAAGTTTTTTTTTTTTGTTTAAAACGGAACGCGGTTCAGTAGTAATTCATTATACTAAACATAAATTTAAAATAGTCCATTCAACGGAATAACAATCTTTTAATATCATAATTATACATTAAACGTTTAACTTAGTTATCAATTGAATTAATATCACATTATAAGTAAGCATACATTTTATCTTTAAAAAATATTAATATTTTCAATTTGCTAAACACTTGGTAGTTGATAAAAATGAGAATATTAGCACAATAACAAAAAATTTGCAGCTAATGGAATACGCAAAAACGGCAACAGTAGCTGTTGATTTAATTCAAGAATTACTGAAACCTTCAGACGATGATTCTAATGAAGATGAAAATCTCATATATTGTTATAGAAATAATATATACGCGAGCACAAACTTAAATAAACTTAAAGTACTGTGAGTACCTTATTATCTCGGAAGCGAGCTCTTGATTCAGTTCAACTGGTTACATAAATTTATTGTTAAACTGTTTTATTGGGAACATATCATCAAAAAAAAAACTTAGGTTACTACTGCACCTTAAAACAGGATTAAACGTTTCAGTATAATCAATCCCTGATTTCTGATTATAGCCTTTTACAACCAATCTTGCCTTATAACGTTAAATTAACCCAACTGTTATTCATAATTACAAAGTATCAAAGTCAATAGGGCTGACAACAACCAAATATTGCTGTATTTTCCAGGCGATAAACCTGAAGAGGAAGGAAAGAATGAAAGGGATTAAACCAAAGATAACCAAGATGTCAAAAATAATGAAATCAAACATTGATTCGTTCAGTAAATCTAAAAATAAATCTACAGAAGCTGAAGTGTGAAGTTCTGATAACTCAAAGAATATTACGACAAAGCAACTGACCAAAGAAATCCTGAAGAACCAATCCCAACTGGAATAGTAAATGAACCTAATGAACCACCAAATGCAGACCAAGCTTAACAAGATATTTATCAGTCACGGCTACGTTCTAGGGCAAACCTAAACCTCCAATTAGATATCAAGACTGTGTAAATACTGAAGACATACATGTGGCAGAAGGGTGTGAACCAATCAACTATCAAGATACACTTGTAGTGAGGCTAATAAATGGAAATTAGCTATGAACGATGAAATGAAATCGCTCAATAAAAATCTTGTATTTGAGTTAGTCAAACCTCCAGCTGGTACCAACATTATGAATAACTTAAAGTGTATTGTCACGCCCAAATTGGGAACGGTGTCTTGACCATCTATGTAGTGTCACCAACACACAGAATTTGCCACCTAGTACTCCTTTTAAGGGTAGACTTTATCCCTTCGCGTTCCGGAATTGACTGATTGCGAATCGACTATCGATTCCCGTTCACGCGCTAAACTTTTTGATGAACCAGTGATTATTTGACCACAATTCAACATGGGTCATTCACTGGTTCCAGAAGTTTCTCTGGTCTTGCTGATCTAATGACAAAAAAACGACGAAGTCCTTATTGATGACTTTGCGAAGTTCAATAATTTCCTAATGGTCAGAGCTATCGAACTAGCGTCAAATTCCGCTTGTAAAATAAATAATTGTTTTCACTTGCCGCCTCGTTGCTGTGTAATGCCAAATATGCTTATTTTGCAAGTGAATGAACTCGATATTCGTTTTCTGAATTTGAAAAGAATAGCAACGTTATAATTTAATGTTTTAAGGTCTAAAATGGTTTTTTGAATTTCATTGAAATTTCACTACGTGACACTTCCCCCCGGCTTACAAAAGATAGGCTCTATCTTTGGCTAAAGAAAAAAAATTAAAAAAAGGAAAAATTCCTTAAGAGTAATCATTAGCAAATTGAAAATAGTTGATACAAAAAACATTGCTTGAATATTAAAGAACTACATTTAATTTACAATTATTAATGTTTTTCGCGACACACATTTTTAACAATTATTACATTATGACATTATTTAAAATAAACACCCACTAGCATACCAACACTCATGAGTTCGCACTTTCGTATCGTCTTTTTCTTGAGGAGAGAACCCGTGTGGTTTGGATCAAGGTCAGCATCACGTTTCCATCGTTGAAAAAATAGGGCAATTGTAGACAATAATAAAGCATACTAACACGTCAGGAATTATACATCGATGCTTGTATAGGTAATTTTGCTTGGGTCGTTCCCCGTTGGCGTGTCAGATGATCCGTTAGCTCGCCCACCGTATTCTTGGCTGTATTTTTTAACAGCAGTTTTGAAAATAAAATCAAGTTCATGGGAGTTAAAACTGCTGATGTATTCTTTTTATATATTATGTTTCTTAATAATCTTCTGGACGTTGCAGTTTTTCTCATATTGCTGGGCGCTGGTCCAGTATTGTAGTCAGTAGAAAAATGTTAGTTGAAATAAAGTTTGCCAACTCGCTCCGTGGTTTTCTCATTGTTGTTTAATTTTTATAAATTGTATATTATGGGAACTGTATGTGAAGTGAACAGCTCCATCGTTTTCCTTCTATCCGTGACCATTGATAAGGTGATGAAGTGGTATATTAACGTAAACAATCCAGAGTCACAAGAATTGAGGGATGATCGAAACAGCAGTATTTATAGCTTCAATGTAGCTGTTGGTTCAGCAGATATTCAGGCACCCGCATTTATCCGTCCAACCTCACGAGACGATCGATATGCCGCTATCAAACGAAAATGTTGTATGTCGACTCCTGCTGCAATTCAAGTTATAAATTCCAGAACACCTTCCAATCCCCAAAAGGTACGCTCCATAACGCAAAAAAATTGCATTACAAATAAATTGCAAATTGGGGGTACCCCATGGATGGTTCGTCTTCCTGTTAAGACTTGGATGGTAATTGGCATTGACGTTTATCATAGTCAAGGTAACCAATCCGTTTGTGGTTTTGTTGGTAGTCTAAACGAAAACTTCATGCGGTGGTTTAGTATCACCATATTCCAAGAGAGAGAGTTTGGAAACCAATTAAAAGTTGCGTTTGCGAAACTCCTCGAAAGATTTCACGAAATAAACGGAACATTTCCCCAGAAAATTATAATATTTAGAGATGGCGTCGGTGACGGACAACTAGCCCATTGTCATGACTATGAAGTGGTATGTTACCCCGGTAGGGGTTGGAATTGGTGTCCCTTTCGGACCAGATACCGTAAATTTGATATGCTCTTTCATTTTATTGGTTTTGGTCAAGCAATTATTTGGTTTTGTGGATACATCGGTGATTTGTGGGCGGCTTGGTGTCCTTTGCAGGTTTTTTCTCCCGTATGTGTAAATAAAGTGTTGAGTGCCCCAAGGGTGTTTGGCTTTAATAACGACACGACGACGGGTATGCCTGTTTTCTTCGTATTTAGTGCTGTTCGGGTCCGTCCTTTCATTGGTTATGCCTTGATTTGGATTAATGATGGGGAGTTCTCCCTCCAAGTGCATGAAATTTGGATGCTGTGTGGTGTCTCATGAATTATTCGTCGCGTTACATATAAAAAGAAAAAAA